CTCGTGAGACCAGATAATCGCGAGGTAGCAAATTCGCCTTCAATTTTGCCGGTTAGAAAACTTATATACGGGAGAGCAGGGAGCACGGATAAGCGAAAAATACAGGCTGATCCAGGAATAAACGACCAGATTCTGTCATGTAAAGTTTTTCCGTAAGTGCCCTAGTCGGAGCTACGGCCCTCCAAAATTTCGGAAAGTAAATCGATTTTCCTGCATGGAAAAAATTAAATTGCTGATTTAACACTTCAATTGCTAAAAAAAGTGACTTGTTACAATGTAGATTTTCCAACAAAAAAATGCTACTATAACCACCCCCGTAGATAAATTAGCTTACAATAGTGGTTACAGAAGCATTTTTTTGTTGTAAAATCTAGGCTGAAACGTTGCAGTCACTTTTTTTAGCAATTGAATTGTTAGATCAGAAATTTAATTTTTTCCGTGTGAATTTTGGCAAAGGTTGTGAACCAAATCTCATGGAAGTTTGTTGTGATCATTAAGGTGTTGGTTGCGAACACCCTGTTTATCGATCCTTTTCCATAGGTTTGAATGGCAGATCAATCGATATATCGCAAAGCACGCCATGGTCTCCCTGACTTAAGGGTACCTTATTTTTTCTTGCCTTCTCAAAAAATTAACGTGTTAGGGCATTTAGTGGCGTCGATTGAAATCCTTAATTTTGAGTGGAGGGCGAAGAACCCAGATGAGTCAGAGCCGGGCGTTGAGTAAAAAAAGAAGGGGGGTGGGCGGGGGTCGGGGAAGTCCGAGCGACGATGACGAAAAATGGCCGGCACGAGGTCGGGGAAGCGCGACGGCCGGCGACCAAGTAATGAGACTACTACAAATCTCGCTAACAGTGAAGAGCATAAACCGCAGCTAAAAACCGCAAGTAGCGGAAGGCCGCCGCCGCGCCGCGGTCGCCAAAAGACGTCATCGGGTTATTTCTCATCGCTCCCGCTCCGAGCTCGCCGCCACCGCTCCGCAGAGCTCTCTAGAGCCGTAGTGTTGGGGATTTTCGATCGATTAATCGTGAAAATCGATTTTTTCCCCTTAAAATCGAAAATTCCGATTTTTGCAACCCGAATGCGTATTAAATCGGCACGTGAGCCGAATTTTGGACCCGAATCAGAGCCTAGCGTTGGAGATTTTTAATCGGTTTTCCGCGGCAATAGATCGATTTTACTGGGTTCGATTAATCGTGAAAATCGATTTTTTTTCCCTCAAAATCGATATGTCCGATTTTTGCTACCCGAATGTGTTAAAGCGGCAGGTGAGCCGAATTTTGGACCCGAAAGTTAGTTAACTTCACGAGAATTTTAATTCGAATTTCTTTGTTTAAAAGTGCGAATTTTGAGTCTTCGTGATTTTCGATATTCTATTTAAAATCGATTGGCGGAGAATCGATTATTTTGTCGCGATTTAAATAGAAGAAATCGAATTCTCGAAAAAAATCGATTTGATTTGAGATCGTATTCTCGAAGAAAATCGATTTGATTCGAGATCGGATTCTCGAAGAAAATCGATTTGATTCGAGATCGGATTCTCGAAGAAAATCGATTCGATTGATGGATTATTTCGAAAAAATTCCCAACACTAGCCGTGTAAATCGATGAGCGGAAAATCGCTTATTTCGTCACGATTTAAAGAGATGAAATCAAATTCTCGAAGAAAATCAATTTGATTCGAGATCGAATCCCCGAAGAAAATCTATTCGATTAATGAATTTTTTCGAACAGATTCCCAACACTTGCCGTGTACGTAACAGGGCATCACCCGAGCCATTAGAGTCTATCTTTCTAACAATTTGACCCCCTCCCCCTGCTGTTTTGTCACCCACTTGTCCCCCCATCGGTAATCCAGGATTACGCGAAAGGTCTAAGAAAATATATAAGGATTGCGCGAATAAAAGCCATAACATATGCTACAGGAATGCGCGACTTTAAAATAAAGTTGATTTAAGGTAGAAGTTCGACAAAACAGACAACAGTTGAAAAATAAACGCATTTTTATGTTAACACTAAATTAGGACAGTTTGTTGACAAGTCATCGATGTCTTACCTCCTGATGATAAATGAAGTGAAAAGATTGAATAATAGTAGTTGGTATAAAGAACTTTCTTAACTTTTCTCGGAAAAATATTTAATCGGGAGAAATAAGGCAACGTTGGAATGCTCATGCGGCATCGAAAAACAACAAATGCCTTTTAAGCTCTATTATTCGATGCCACGCTTATTCTAACGAGAGTTCAAATAATCGCTCCCAACACGGTGCGTAGCGCCTTCAAGACTTCGGGAATACTTCACGCATTGCGCTAAACAGTGCAGTCGGCGCGCGGCGCAAGGCAAGCCCATACTGGCGCTTACAAGACTGCGTGAATACTTCTCGCATTGCGCCAAACGCAGTGTAGACTATCAGTTGGGGTAAAACGCATATTATCGCCTACAAGACAGAAGGAATGCTGTAGGACTGCGTGTTAACATTCTTGACTTTCTGCTCAAGTTTTTACCATGAATAAAGGGAGCATATGTATTCAGTAACTCATGTAACGATTCAGAAACTCGGATGATATTCAGATGTTTTCAAGTTACATCAAAAGAAAATAGAACGAACGAAAATATCGTGACAAAATTTTCGGTTCTTTTAAGTAATTGAGATCATTTAGGTCAATTCGCAGGAACTTTTCAGAAAAACTGTACGTTGCTTCTTAAACACATTTATTAAAAATAAGACATAAAAGTGGTGCATAACGTTGCAATCAGAGATAAATATACGCTCTTTTTTGGGTGCACCCGGCGGATTTTGAATCCATTCATCTCTTAAAAAACTTGAACATGGTTGCTATACGATTTTTTACGTGTAGTTTTTTTCAGGGATTTGCAGCCGCGTAGCGGCCACAGGCCCCTGGTTCACTTTTTAAATGTCTATGAAAGCTCTCTGGGTCTCTGCGAGGGCTATCCATCGAAAAGAGACATTCCCTTAAGTAAGGAGGGAATGAACAGTCTTCGGCGATGTGGTTATCGCCACAAACTATTAAGGTTGCCAGATTAACGCTTCCTCGTTGAATATTGAATATTCGTGCAAACATGTGAGTTTTCGGTACCAGAGCAATTCGCGCAATCCTATGTATCTCCAAAAAGGTAAAAAAGGGGGTATTCGCGCAATCCTATCGCAGCCCCGCCTATGTGGGTGACGAAATTTATGGACAGCCCTCTACCTCCTAGGTTATATATTTGAGAATCTTCATCAAATCTAGGACGCCGTCGCGATCTAATTTGTTTATCCCCTCTTTCAAAAACTGGGAATGGAGGGGCTACCACGAAAGCCTGAAATCCGCCGACCAATTGATGAAAGGATCGAGGTGGCAATACTTTCCTCGCACAGATACTCTGTTATTTGGGCGCTACGACTGGCAACTCCAATGCATCTCTGGAGAGATGCGAAAAGAGGAAGTGCCTTCAATTTTTGAGAATGCAGCACGCACATCTAAGGAACACGAATAGTTGCATCAAAGCGCCGCGACATGCCTGGTTCAGTTTAAAAATAACGTATGCACCACTAGTTTCCCAATGTGTATAAACGTTTTTAGCGATAAGTCAGAAATTTTAGTTCCAATAGTTTCCACAGATCGAAATTACAAATGAATTATTGGCTGTCTGACTTCGTGTCTCGTGCAGCGACTGGACGGTCCGCGGTGTTGCATTTTTCGAAATATTAACTTTTACATCCGATATGAGGATAAAGTATTGGTAAAATATTGAGAATCTCATGAACTTGACACATTTTTCGGTACAGGGCGGTTAATATGACAATAATCATACATTTGACAACGGCTTGAATTGATTGCACTGTTGCCAAGTTGTACAGAGAAAAAATGCATTAAAAGTTAATTTGTATATCTGGCAAGGAGGCCAAACGGGCATTGCTCTTCAACTGATATGGAAAAAACTCGGGATAATGGTTGAGAAAAAGAGATGATTTTGATCCTAATCTTTTGGTAATAAAAAATTTTCGTTCAAGGGCTGGGTGCAAAAAGGGCATTCCTTGGATACAGCGTCTCAAAATCTCCACTAACGTTTCACCCATTATAATTGAAGCAAATGTACAGAATTTGTTGTAACTTTAACTGAATTTTCTTCATAATTTAACGGTGCTGAAAATATAAAATTTAAGAAAATTGACCCATGACATTTCCTTGTCACGTTTTGATAAAATTCCCTGAAAATTGAAGATTTGCTAGATGGTTAAAAAGACATAATTTCAAATAGGTTTCACTCAAAATCTATTATTTCAAACGTCAATCTTAGCCTAGAAAGCAAATAATGGTGGCTAAACAATTTTTCCATGACAAATACAACATTTTCGTCTGTTTTCCTGACAATTCCAGGTTTTCCCTGACTTTTTAAAATTCCCTGACATTTCCCGGTATTCCCTGACTATGGCAACCCTGTAACACATGTGTGATTTTCTCGGACGAGTAAGTTTTATCCGGGACATTCCCCGGGAACGAAGGAGTCCCCACTGCGATCCCTAGAACGTTACTGGAAGCGATTTGTACGGCTAAAGCTACCCTCACCGGCGATGCAGGCCGCCAAGACGTGGAGACCTAAACTCCAACTACGGCAGCAGAGGCGGATCCAGCAATTTGGCAACACCGGATT